GTCGTGGTGACAGAAGAGGAGTGTTCACACATGCCATTGACTCGGGAATCAGAGCAGCAAAGTAAGTCATGGAAGGGTCATTGGTGGAGGTGAGTTTCGACCCTGGTCTTGAAGGATGGACTGACCGAGACTGGCAAATAGAATGAGGAACACATGCAGATAGAGCCTGGCAGGGAGGGGTCACGGGTTTGTATCTGATCCTGCGGCAGCGTTTTCTTCACTGGGGCCGATTTCTTTACTTCTTATCTGCTTATTTCTTTCTGAAATGATGAAAATCATCTATTGCCATGACAACACAATGCAGTGGTGAACTCTGGAGGCTTTGTTCTTTATTCAGAAGTGATGTTCTGTCGAGGCCATTAAGCAAAATATTTCTCATTCTACTCCTGTGTCTCTCTCTCTCATTTCCATTAACTAATTCATAATGGGATTGATTAGCAATCAATAATAATTAGACAGTTTAGTGGAATGAATCTCAGTAGAATCAATACTTATGAGCATAAAGAATCCATAGTAATAATGTCAAATGTGTACTCATTTTTAAAATGACTCATTTAGCAGCTTCCCATTTGTTCTCTCATCGGCATAGTATAATCAGGTAGAGCACAGGGGTTTCTAACAACATAAAAGATTAAAAACATAGCTATCAAATTAATTCACCTTTCCAAACCTGTCTCATATATATCCTGAAAGGTAAGTAAATCAGCATAAGACTATGCTGTACCTATTTGCTCATTAGGCGGAGGGTCCTCCCAGCTCCCACAGAAGGGATGGGACCCATGGAGTTTACAGAGGTGTATCCCACGCACCTTGATAGCTATCAAGACACAGACAGCCAGGGTTCCTCATCGGTGGGAAGGTTCCGTACCTGTTGGGTGTCCAGAGGAGATGGCCCTCAGTTCTCACGGGGCCTCTAGACCCAGCCGTCGGCTGCTGTGAGATTTGCCAGGAAGCCATCCCAAGGACGGGAGGCTGGCTGGCTCGTGAGATGGCCCATGGCATGTTCAGAGGGTCCAGTTGTCGGGAGATCCTTGCTCGTGTTGGGCTGAGGCTCCTCCACAATTTCCAAACTTGAGTGAAGAATTTGAAATATGTCCAATTTGAATTTTATTGCAGCTTGGCAAAATTCGTGTTATGTGTGCATGCGGTGTTTTGATTTGCTCATTTTCTAAACTACTCAGAACTGGAGGAAGGTATGGGCAGCAGGAATTGGCTGGGCCTGGGTCTACATGTGAGGGATTTAGTTCCACTCCAAGTTAGGGGTAAACTGAGTTCTACGTCAAATATCTTTGGTAATAACTCTTTAAGTCAGGAGCAGGATCCCCTCAGTGGATCCTTTAACACCACTCTCCCCAATGGATTTCACAGCAGGTGGGAGCTGGAGTCATGTCCAGGGCCACACCAACACCCAGGCCACTGTCCAGGGCCACAGCAGTGAGTGGACAGTGGAGCCAGAACTGGACCCCACTCTCGGGACCCAGTTGGGAGCCAGCCTCTGTTCTGTTCTGCATGTGGGGCCCACCACCCCAGACACACTTTCACCAGAACACGTCTGTGTTTTGTGAGCTGCCCAGACGAGCCCCCGTGTGTTGGAGTTAACACACAGAACTGGCCGTGGCGGAGCTGAGCGAAGGGCAGGGCGGCGCCCCTTCCCGGCTTGTCCCCGGGCACTGGGGCGGCCGCGCACAGCCTCCCGCCATCTCCCCTGGTCTGGGCACTGTGTTCAGCATGTTGTGAGGGTGGGTCCCCTGATGGCATCTGTCAGCACAACAGACGATGCACAGACCCGTGGGTTTCCCTTTGTCCAGCCCCACCCACCCCAGAAAACAGCTGCAGGTCTCCTTGGTCTCGGTCCCCGGGAGACAGCTCAGCCTCCTCCCAGAGCTCCCTCCTCTGATTCCACAGCCCCCGCCGTGTCCGCGGCTGTTGGATTCCTTCTCCCCACTTCAGATCTCAGGGATCTCTTTCCGGTGCCCTATTTCCAGTTCTTAGGCCAGATCCCAACGTCACACCCACCCCTGCTAACCCATTTGCTTTCTGTTTCTGAATAAGCATATGGACTTTTTAAAACTTGAGATACAATTCACATGCCATACAAATCACTCGTTTAAAGTATATAATTCAGCCCTGGCCGGTTTGACTCAGTGGTTAGAGTGTCGGCCCGCGGACTAGAGAGTCCTGGGTTCGGTTCCCGCTAAGGGCACGTACCTCGGTTGCAGTTTGTCCCCGGCCCCGGTTGGGTCATGTAGGTGGCAACCAGTCGATGTGTCTCTCTCACATTGATCTTTCTCTCTCTCTTCCTCCCTCTCTCCCTCCCGCTCTGTCTGAAGATAAATGCAGGAATGTCCTCGGGTGAGGATAAAAAAATAATAATAAATAAATAAAGCATATAATTCAGTGATATGGGTATTTTACATTAATTTTTAAATTGTGGTAAAAAATACTCTGCACAAAATTTGCCACTTAACTATTTTTAAACATACATTTCCATGACATTAAATACATTCACAATGGGTACAACCATCACCATGATCTATTTCCAGAACTTTCCATTACCCTAAGCAGGCTCTGTACCCATTAAGCAATAACTACTCGTTCCTTCCTCCCCCGACCCCTGGTCACCTCGATCCTACACTTGGTCTACGAATTTGCTTATTCTGGGTACACCATTGTAAGTGGAATAATACAGCAATTGTCCCTTTATGTCTGGCTTATCACACTTAGCACAGAATTTCAAGGTTAGTCCGTACTGTAGTGGGTATCAGAACTTGATTCGCTTTCATGGCTGACTAGTATTCCATTGTGTACCACATTCTGTATATTCATCTGTAGATGCACACGTAGGCTGTTCCATGTTTAGGTTGTATATTTTCGCCTCTTGGCCATTGGGAATAATGCTGCTGTGAGCATTGACGCACAGGTGTCTGCCTGAGTCTCTGCTTTCGATTCCTTCGTGCGCACCGGAGAGTGGGCTTGCTGGGTCACGTGGTAACTCGCTTTTTGAGGAATAAGCATATGGATATTTTTGCATTTAAACTGTCATAAGTGGAAGGGGTTGGTCTTACTAATTAAAACGTGTCTGTTTCATCAGAGCTACTGTGAAGAGCTGTACGGGCAAGCTCATTCCTCACCTCCTTCCGAGTCCTTAACAATGGCCCCTGTGCAGCCCGGGGGCAGTTCATCACGGGGCTTTGTGACATCCATTACTCTCTGTAACTGATTATTTTTAAGCTTTACTATTTAGCTTGTCATGTTTTTATACAGTCCCCCACTGAGATTTTCATTTCCTCTCGGGCACAGACACACATTGTATTTTTCTGTACAGGAATTCCTTGTAGCACCTAGCATAGACCTTCCAGAAACCTAACTGATGAGCTTTAATTTCTTTCACATCAATCTTCTGATTTATTCAGAGACTAGAAACTTCTCTAGCAAGTCTGTACCTTGGTAGAATTTATTTTGCCAAGATACGTTTTCTGCAAACCTGTTTCACGCGATAAGTAAGGTAACACGACTAGTAATAACGGCTGCTAACTCTTATAGAACACTTGTTTTGTGTCGCCCAGTATTCGAAGCACTTTTCTTGTATTTCCTCACTTAATTCGCAAAAAAAGCTTACGGTATAGATACTGTTATTGGCCACATTTACTGATAAGGAGACTGAATCCTTCAGAAGCTAAAAGGCCCCACCCCCCCAGCCAGTGCTGATGTTGGACGTCTGGCTGCGGGGCCCTGTTCTTACCCGCAGACCGTCGGGGAGGGGTCCTTCTTCCTGCACTCGGGGGCAGAAGGTGCGGCCACTGGAGGAATTCTTCAGCCTGGATGTCTGGTGTCAGGAGCAGGGGCCACACTCGGTCACAGGGCAGTCACTGCCCAGCTGCCTGGGGCTCCTGAGTTTGCTCCTCTTCTGCTGCCCTTCAGAGGCAGAGATCGACCTTGGGAAGGGTCTGGCCTGTGACCAGCCTTGTGACCTTGGCCAAGACACCACGGTGATTGTCATGTCCCTATTAGGTGTCTATAAATACCAGCTTCTTTTAGCAAATTAGTTGGAAACTGACCATCTTACTTAGGCAGCTGATAGTTCTTAAAAATAGACAATCAATATACAAAAATAGTTGAAAATCCATTTTTAAAACCTTCACAATAACAACAAATTTTATATCCATCATTCCACCAGCCTCTCACTGAATTTGGAGGCAGGCAGAATTGGTTCCCAAAGTAACCACAAAAGCGCAAATATCTTAGGGGGAAAGTGGGCTGGCCTAGAGCCATCCAAAGCCAGTTCCTCCTGCTGGTGGCTGGAGTTTCGGGGTGAAGAGCAGGGGTCCGGAGCAGCTCCCCAATAGGCATCTTCCTGGCGGGAGCCCCTCTGACCTCATCTGGACACAGCGCTGTCCCCTCCCTGATCCGAGGGCCGGGCCTCCCGAGGGGGCACTCAGGTGGCCTGCACCACAGCCTCCCACACCCTCACAGCAGAGACAGGATGGCGTGACGTCCTGCTCCGAGTGCTCCTTCTGAGCCGTGTGTAGGACTGCCTCCCGGAACCTCCTTCTCTCCTCCAGCGCCTGCGTCCTGGTTCCTCCTGGCTGTCCCGGGCCTCCAGGCCCCGAGCCTCGCTGTGCTCTTCCTTCCCAGCAGTGGGTGTTCTGGGCTCTGTTTGCTCGGGTGTCCCCTTTTGGTGGCTCAGGGAGCATTACCACACTTGGGGAGAGCCCAGGCCCACTCAAAGCTTCTGACCTCCCAGTTTCCAGAAGCACCTGGGGGCCCAGCTCCAGCCCTTTCTCACATTTTCATATGTCCCCCTCTACCAGTTAGGTGACACTTGTGTGCCCTGCCTCCCCGTTGGGGTCACGGAGAGCAGAAGTCACATTCCTGCCCTCTCTCCCGCTCGGCTTCCGTCCCCTGCCCGGGACACAGAGGGGCTCTCCACACAGCGTGCTCTGGCCTGCCGGTGTGGTGTCCCGCGTCTCCCAGTTCTGATTGTCCCTGTACCTTTTCAGCACTGTCTCCAAGCAGAGGAAGAACGTCATCAGCTGTGTCACAGTCCACGACTCGCCGTACTCCGACTCCTCCAGCAACACCAGCCCCTACTCCGTGCAGCACCGCACCGGGCACAACGCCAGCACCTTCGACACCAAGGGGAGCCTGGAGAACCGCTGCACTGGGAACCCCCGCACCATCATCGTGCCGCCCCTGAAAACCCAGGCCAGCGACGTGTTGGTGGAATGTGACAGCTTGGTGCCAGGTAACTCGGGGACCGGCAGGCCGGGATCTCCGGAGATGAGTCGTTTTCTGCTGCTAACAGTTTTGTATGTGAGAGCTGACAAGTCCGGGTTATTGCAGATTTTGTTCATGTAGCCGAGGGAGGATTCCTCTTAACATCACGTTGCAAAAGCAGTGATTTCATTTTTTAATCCTACAGTTAATACCTCGCTGCCTTTTCAGAGGCTCTGCCTCTGATTTGGTTGATTAATAAAAAATAAGAGCCACCCAGTTCCTTACACGCCGCCTGGATTGATGCCTGGTGGGGGGCCTGGCTGAGTTCGGCATCGGTCGCTCCAGGGAGCCCAGGTTGGGGCGGCCTGTGTGGGCGGAACCTTCTCTGCGTCTTGCTCGGTGAGGGTGACACACGTTCTTCCCTCGTCTCCTTAAAAGTCACTGTTGGGGTGAGAGGTCATGGCAGGCGCATGTATCCCTCAACATTGCTTGATTGAAAGGTGTTACCTCAAAAAATTAAAAATGGAACTGCCATTTGACCCAGTGATTCCACTTCTAGCAATATACCCAAAGAAGCCTGAAACACCAATCAGAAAGAACATGTGTACCCCCATGTTCATAGCAGCACTATTTACAGTAGCTAAGATCTGGAAACAGCCCAAATGTCCATCAGTAGACGAATGGATAAAAAAGCTGTGGTACATACACACAATGGAGTACTATTCAGCTGTAAGAAAGAAAGCTCTCTCATCCTTTGAGACGACATGGAGGGACCTGGAGAGTATTATGCTAAGTGAAACAAGCCAAGCAGAGCAAGACAAATATTACATGATCTCACTTATTTGTGGACTATAATGAACTAAACAAACTGATGAACAAAATAGACCCAGAGAGAAGTAGGGTACAGACTGACAAAGCTCAGAAGTGGGGGCAAGAGATAAACCACAGAACTTAGATGCATGTATGCGTAACCAATGGACGTAGACAACAAATTAGGGATGGGGAGGAGGGTGTCAATGGGGGGAAAAGGAAACATCTGTAATAAAAATAAATTAATAAATTAATAAAAATAATTTTAAAAAAATAATCACAAGCCCTGGCCAGTTTGGCTCAGGGGTTAGAGCGTCGGCCTGCGGTCCTGAGAGACCCGGGTTCGGTTCCCACTAAGGGCGCGTACCTCGGTTGCAGTTTGTCCCCGGCCCTGGTTGGTCGTGCGGGTGGCAGCCACTCGATGTGTCCCTTTCACGCCGATGTTCTCTTTCTCTCTCTCCCTCCCACTCTACCTGAACAAAAAAAAAATGGAAAATGTCCTCAGGTGAGGATAAAAATAATAATCATCATCATCATCACAGAAGAAAAAAAAGAAAGTATTCCTTCTGTCCCAGGAAGAGAGGCTGAAAACTGAACCTTCCAGGTACATTTAGCGCCTCGCCCCAGATCCGGCAGCCTCTGCTCAGGGTCCCCTGGCTCAGGCTCGCCGGGGGAGACTTGGGGGTAAACCAGAAGAACCGTGCAGTTCGCTCCTCTGTCACCAGCCGTCCGGGCCCGGCAGCGCCCCACGGTCGCACCCTGTAGAAGGAAAGGGTCACGAACTGCCAGGAAGGTTTGTTTAGGTGAGAGAAGCCGCTGTTCATCCGCTGTCGTCGTGCATCCTGTCCGTGTCGCCGTGGCACCTCCTCGGGGTGCTGCCCTGACGGTGGCGAGTAGAATTCAGGGGGGGTCTGGGGGCTTGTCCTGCCCAGGGCCACAGGTCATTTTGCGTCATGTGGGACGAGAGGACTTTGCTCTCCCCAGACCCTCTTCCTCCACCCAGGCAGGGGTGTCCGTGGGGAGCTCAGCCGGAAGCAGCTCTCCGGTCGTGGCCAAGGGAACCTGTGGGCCAGCAGTTCGCCCAGGCGACAGGCTTCCTCGGAGCGGTGGCACTCGTACCTGCCCACTCGTGTCTCCATCAGATACCTGTTTAAAACTGTATCCCTCACACACGACCCAGCTCAAGTATTTACAGTGGGGGTCGTTTCTGTCGTGTTGTACATTGTGTCGTTACGTAAGCACTTTACATACCTCTGCAAACCTGGAGGCTGCAGGTGGACTCATTTAATACGGTGGCCAAAGCCGACTCCTGTGCCAGGAGAAGCCTTCCCTGTGACAGTCACCTCACTGCTGGAGAGAGAAGAGGGCTGGCAGAGACCTTGCGGCCTGAGTCCGCGAGTCCGCAGCCTCCCGCGTTTGTTACTGAGAAGGCGGCTCCGCGTGGCTCCGAGGGGGCTGCCCCCCCAGAGCTCTGCATTCCGGGACCGTCCACCGGGCGCCCCTGAGGCTTCACACCGAGGTCTGGCCCGTGCTGTCCAGGAGGGAGCAGGGAGCCTTTTCTGTAAACCAGGAGCAAGCACGTGGGGAAGGGAGCCCGGTGCCGGCAAGTCGCGGAGGAAGAGAAACCTCTAGAAGTCCTCAGGTCGCCCTGCACATCCCCGGCTCTGCGTGAGGGCTCGCTGCTTAATTAGCACAAGTTCTTGAGACTGCTGTTGAAATCCTGAAGGAAAATTGGCCCTTTCATTGAGCCGGTAGAGAAGGAAACATTCCTCCCTCGTCTGCAATCCAAAATCCAAAAAAGCTCTGAAAACCGATTTTAAGTTCGCCGCAAACTCGGTAGTGAAAACCGAGGTGTCGTTTCTCTGTGGAGACTCCCTTCCCCTGTGAGCACCTGCTGCTCAGTGTTCCTGGCGACAGTGAGAGGCAGGACGAAGCGCGTGCGGGTGCCAGCTGGGCTGTCTCAGCACTGACCCCGCTGGCTGCAGTCACCCAGGCTGGGGCGGCAGGGAGGCAGCCTTCCTCGGCTCCGGGCCCAGTGGCCCACACAAGCCGAGGTGCGCGCCGGCTGGAGCGCCCGGCGGGGGCAGTCCGGTTTCCCAGTCCCTCGTCCCTCCTGTGGTCCTCAGCCCAGGAGGGTCCCTGGGGATTTCTCACGTAGCCTCTCAGCTCTCTCCAGTTAGTTAGGGTCCCTTTGGAAGGCAGCAAATGAACTCTGCAGGAATTTATCGGAAGGATGCAGGGCTCAGGGAGAATTCGGCGACCAGGTTCGAACTCCTGGGACCCGGGTCGTCTTCCCGGGCCTGGGGAGACGAGGCTGGTCCGTGACTGGCCCGGCTCAGAAGCGGGTCCCTCCCGGAAGGCCACCGTTGGCCCCTCGTGGGGTGGCATCTTCTGGGCCGCCGAGGACCGTGACTGATCTGTAACCTGTTTTTCCTCCCGACACAGTCAACACCAGTCACCACTCGTCCTCCTACAAGTCCAAGTCCTCCAGCACCGTGACCTCCACCAGCGGCCACTCTTCAGGGAGCTCGTCGGGAGCCATCGCCTACCGGCAGCCGCGGCCGGGACCACATTTCCAGCAGCAGCAGCCGCTCAACCTCAGCCAGGTAAGCGTGCCCGCCGCGCCCCTCCCGGCGGCAGCCCCTCTGGTGGCAGGAAGTGCCCTGAGCGACCTCTGGGTTTTCTTTCCTCTGAGGGTAAGTGGGTATCAGTGGTTCACAGAGAGCTGGCCTGAAGCAGAATGACTTCTTTAATGTTATGTAGCACCGAGTGGCTTGTGCCAGCACTTAAATTAGGGTGGCCTGCGTCCTGCCAGCTCAACCCAGCCGAGGCAGAGCACCGCATCCTCTAGCCAGGCCGGACACCAGGGACAGACCTGCAGCTCCACAGTCGGCTGGCCGATTCCTTCCGGCGAAGAGGCCACATGCGCGAAGCCCCAGACAGGCGGGGAGGTTTGGGAGAAGGTGGCGTGTAAACAGCAGTCTCTGGGGCAGAGCTGGCCTGTGTGTACAGGTGGGCCCAGGGCCTGTTTCCTGGGAAGCCCTGGAGGTGAGCTACGTGGGGGTTGAGCTCAGACACCGCGGGTGGAGTGCTGCGTCCGGGTGCGAGCCAAGGCTGCGCCTGTCACCGGGACTCGGCTCCCAGGTGGAGCGGTGCTTGGTCCGATGCCACCGCCAGCAGCCAGGTGTCTGAGGGCCCAGCTTCAGAGAACAGATTTCACAGTGAGAGAACCGAGGTCACTCAGAGGGGCTGCTTTGCCGCTTCACAGCTGCACTGTGTCCTGTTAATGCAGCAGCCTCATCTGTGTCCCCAGCCCAGGGCACACTGAGCCGGCTTCCCTCCTCAGTCCAGGCCAGTCGTCTCCTTCCAGCACCGGGGCGCAGCTCCTGTCACTCCCACCCCTGGCCTCCCCCCTGCTCCACCCACTTCTCTTCTCTCCTTCCTCCTCCCGCCCCTCCACTTCCCTCCTCCCTCCTTTCCCTCCTTCCTCCTCCCCGCCCCCCCACTTTCCTCCTCCCTCCTTTCTCTTCTTCCTCCTCCCTCCTTTCCCTCCTTCCTCCTCCTTCCTTTCCCTCCTTCCTCCTCCCTCCTTCCTCCTCCTTCCTTTCCCTCCTTCCTCCTCCCTCCTTTCCCTCCTTCCTCCTCCCTCCTTTCCCTCCTTCCTCCTCCCTCCTTTCCCTCCTTCCTCCTTCCTCCTTCCTCCTCCCTCCTTCCTCCTCCCTCCTTTCCCTCCTTCCTCCTCCCGCCCCTCCACTTCCCTCCTCCCTCCTTTCCCTCTTTCCTCCTCCTCGCCCCTCTACTTTCCTCCTCCTCCTCCTCTCCCTCCTCCCCCTCCTCCCTCCTCCCCTCCTCTCCCTCCCTCCATTCCCCATCCTCATTTCCCTCGCTTCTCCCTCTCTCCTCTCCATCCTCATTTCCCCCTCCTATCCCTCCTCTCCCTTCTCTCCCTCTCTCCTCTCCATCATTTCCCCCTCCCCTTCTCCCCCTCTGCCCCATCCTCACTTCCTCCTCCCCTCCCTGTGTGTCCAGCCCCCAGTGCAGCCCTCTCCTGGTACTTCTCCTTGTCCAGGCTCAGCAGCACATCACCGCGGACCGCACCGGGAGCCACCGACGGCAGCAGGCCTACATCACTCCCACGATGGCCCAGGCTCCGTACTCCTTCCCGCACAACAGCCCCAGCCACGGCACTGTGCACCCCCACCTGGCTGCCGCCGCCGCCGCCCACCTTCCCACCCAGCCCCACCTCTACACCTACACGGCGCCCGCGGCCCTGGGCTCCACCGGGACCGTGGCCCACCTGGTGGCCTCCCAAGGCTCGGCGCGTCACACCGTGCAGCACACTGCCTACCCGGCCAGCATCGTCCACCAGGTCCCCGTGAGCATGGGCCCCCGGGTCCTGCCCTCACCCACCATCCACCCGAGTCAGTATCCAGCCCAGTTTGCCCACCAGACCTACATCAGCGCCTCTCCAGCCTCCACCGTCTACACTGGATACCCACTGAGCCCCGCCAAGGTCAACCAGTACCCTTACATATAGACACTGGGGGGGGGGGCGCGGGCAGGAGGGCGCGAGGCGGGACCTCGGTGGGCGCGGCGGGTCTACTGACCCGCACAGCGGCTGTGCACACGGGGCGGGGCGCCGCGCACGGACTCGAAACTTGAACTGGGAAGTGGGGGACTCGGAGCAGAGAAGAGAACATTTTTAAAGGAGGGGATTCAGGAGGGAGGAGTCTGTGCTGTTTATTTTTTAAAAAAAAGAAAAGAAAGAAAACGTCAGTAACAAACGCAGCTCTCGAACCCATTCTGCACCAAACTGGAAAGGAGAAGAGGAGTGATGGAAGATTCCGGAAGTGGGGCCCCAGTTTCTGAAGAACTTTGTCTATGAACTTTTCAAAGATTATTTTCATATGGCAGCAAGTGACATTTAAGAAATTGCTGTCAGGAGACACCTGATATGGAAATCCAATAGATTTTTAATTATTGAACATGAGAATTAGGGATTTTTCCAGAACTCTGAAGGGTCAACAGCCCTCTAGAAGTTCAGGCCGGCCGAGGAGGCTGGTATTCGGGGGTTGGTCTGGCTCCTGGGCCAGGACTGAGGGGGTGGCCTGGCTGAAGGAAGCCCGCCCCCAGAGGGCGCACTTTCTCTCTCCGAGCGCTCTGGATAAATCCCTAAGCAGTGTTCCTCCTCAAACGTCATTAATAATGTGTGTTGCAAACTTTAGTTCTTTTTTTTCCCCGGAGATTTCTTTTCTCTGAATCAGTCCCTAGTCACGTAGGTAGGGCTAGCGGGTCGCCGACACCGTAGTGGAATGTAGATCTCTGCACCCGTTTTCTGCTTTGTGTTCAACTCCAACGATACCAATAGACTCTTCCTCAGTGTACTTGCACAAAAAGGTGGTATGACCTAGGCGTGTGACCAGTGCGGTGGTCCCGGCGTGTGAGCTGCGCGGGTGTGAGTGCGGCGCACCTCCCCGCGTGCCCCGCGCGCCGCGGTCACGGCTCCGCTGTCTCGACTTGACACCATCCCCTCCTAGTGCCTTACCGACAGACGCGAGGGTTTGCTTCCGCGGTACTCCGAGAAGGGACGGAGGCGAGTCCGGCCATCTCCGCTCCTCTTTTGTGCTGTTGAAACGTTTTACTCTGGTCTTTCCTTATTCTTTTAATTTAAGTTTAATTTAATTTTAATACCTGTTGTCTCTCTAGGGCTGCTTGCTGGCAGAGGGGTGTCAGGGAGCTGGCAGGGGCTAGGAGAGCCCACAGGTGTGGAGAGAGGTGGGGGAGGGGCGTGGGGAGGGAGGCTGATGTCAGTGATGGTTGTAGGTGACCTTTATCTGGACACAGAGCAAGAGAGACTCCCCGCCCCTCAGCCTCACCCTGCGCTGCCCCGGTTCTGCGCGTGTGGCCGGCTCTGCTGTCTGTGGGACCAGGGGGCCCCTCTGTGTTGTAGGAAGGCTGGCTTGCAGGCGGCTGCCTCCTTCCTGGTGTGCAAAGGACGGAGGACAGGAGGCCGCCTGCAGGCCCGGCACACGTCCCGTCACCGTCTGCGGGCGGGGGGGGGGGGGGGAGGCCTGTGCCCAACCGCTGTCCTCAGCCTCACCCCAGACTGCACTGCTGGCGCCGCCCCTGTCCTCTGGCTCCCGGGCTGCATTTCTCTCGTCTCAGCAGCCTTCGCCCGCACTGCCTGGGCACCCCAAGGCACAGCTTCGTTTTGGTGTTGGAGAGGCTGCTGGGCAGAAGGCGGGAGGGACGTGTATGAGGGTAGCCAGGAGGTTTTCCCTGCACCTTGGAAAACACTCCGGCTGCCAGTTAGGTTTCCAAAGAAATGTGCCCTTCGCCCCCTCTGCACCTTCGATGCATCCTGGATGTTTTCTCAGGCTTTGCACCTGCTGGGGGTGGTCTCCGTTCACAGCAATGTACCCGCATGAAGGTTGGGAGACTGGGGGGCTTTAAAGGGTGGTCCTAATCCTCTGGTTCTCCATGCTGAGCCCTTAACTAACCCCAAAGCCAAGTTTCCAAGGTGCAAAGAGGTGGCTCCCCCTGCCGGCCGTCAGTCCTTGTCCCCCCCATCCCCCTCACTCCAGTCTCCCTTAATGATCTACTGTGAAAGGTGTCTTTTATAGTGATATCCAGCCTAATTCAGTGAGGAAGCCAAACCGTTACCTTAGCTCTTAGCTGTGAAATGTGAACTAACTCTGGAAATTTCCCCGCCCCAACCAGAAATCCTGCGCATCTCACAAAGAAATCGGTACCCACTGGAACCAGTTCAGTCTGGGCCTGAGGCTGGAAGGGAGGGTGCCATGGCCTCTCAAGGCAGGACAGCCCCCAGAGACCCGACAGGGCAAGATGCTCCTTCAGTCGTTCTGTGCAGACCTGGGGGAGCGCGTCCTTCCGAGACAATAGGAAGATGGCCAGTCCGGAGAGGGTGGGGGTTCTGGAGGACGTGTGAGCCAGCGCCCTCTGAGGGCCATGCCAGCCTGGAGGACCCAACTCAGCAGCCAGATGGCAGCGCTGCCCCCACCAGACCCCGAGCCCAGTTACTCTAGTCCTGGCTGCAGATGAGCCTCCATTTGCCTTACTGTACCTCCTGGACCGCCTCCCTGCACAGGCCACGCCCAGCCCCTTCCCTCCTTCCGTGGCAAAGACAGCTGGCCTCCCCTTTGAAGCAGAGGGTTTTGTCTACTAAGTTGACTCTTCCCCCTGACATTTCTTTCCTTTTCTTCCAGATCAGGAATGAAAGTTCCATGCTGCTCATAAAGATATTATTATTATACTAATTATTTTGATTGTTATCGTAATTATTATCACTATCGTCATCATATTGATATTTTAGTTGGGGTTTGAAATGCACATGTATTCCGTGTATCTTTGTGTTTTCTCTTTAATATTTAAACTTATTTTATTATATCTGTGAGTATATGAGTAGACAGGAGGGACATACGGATGTCCATTTTTGTCAGACAAAAAGAAAAAGAAAGACCCAGGAGTTAGGGAAATGTTTCTGTCATCTCTGTCCCACAAAGAGCGATCAGGAAAGGTCACCGCAGAACAAGAGTTTGCACAGGCCCATTGGGCTCTCGACAGCGTAGTCACCCTCGAGGCTGTGCTGGCCTGGGAGAGAGCGGAGGGGGCGTCTCCCGGCCGGACCCTGAGCCTAGTTCTCGGCCACATTCCCTGTGCTTCTGAAATCTGCCACCTAGCGCCTTGGCCTGCCTCGTGTCTGTTATTTACCCGCCCAGCAAAAAGAGCCCCTCCGCCCGGAGCTGATGCAGCCTCTCTCCTGGTGTCCTCCCTTTCCCCTCTGTGTGGCTCGTAGCCGTCAGCGCAGAGACCGTTGTCCCCTCCTAGAAGCTGAAGTAAGGCTACGAGGCAGGTAGCACCTTCCGCTGGGGAAGCCCAACCTCACTTCGCCGCCTCCCACTCACTAACCACACTGCCTGCTTCTTCCTCTACCCCTTGCCCCCAGGACATTTCTCAGTCGCAGTCCTGGGGACAAACTAGTGGGCCCAAAAAAGGTGGCGGGATGCTAGGAGGCCAAAGGACACTGACCCAGTCCAGTGACAGCTCCAACACCGTGGGCCACAGTGAAATCACTCTGCACCCCTCAGTGCCCTGCTTTTTAAACCAGCTTGAGGTATACACACGCTGCCCACCAAACCCCAAAACTGCAGCCCCAGGTGAAGAAAAGATTGAAATGGCCAGCTTCCCTGAAGGGGGCGCCGCCGGGAGATGTCAGGCAGGACCGTCCCACAGACACTCAGCAAACATGAGCGCACCCCTAGTCCCACCTGCCTTCCTCCCGTCCCGCACAGAGCCGTGGGGTCGGAAGCCCAGTGGGAGCCGACCTCTGCACACGCTCGTTCCCGCATGCCCCACCTCCCACCCCATCCTCCGACTCTGAGTCGCCCTAGCAAATAGGATGAACAAAAGGCTGCCCATTCCTAGGACCAAGCTCTCAAGTAGGTGCCAGCTTAGCCCTGTTAGACCTCAAGTAACCTAGAGCATCGTCTGTTGTATAATTGGCTTCATCCTTCTCTGCTGAAGAAGCATCGTTAAAGGGAAATTCCAAAGGACAGGCCAAGGAGAACCATGCAGCGGGAGCTGCTCTGTGGGTCCTCGCCGGCCCGCCTGGGGGCTCGCACCCCTGTCTCTGCGCTTAGGGCCTCTTTCATGACGATCTGGTTGTTTCCAAGGGAAGGGGTGAGCAGGCCGATGGGTGGTAGAGTCTGAGGCTTGATGCCAGTTACTTCTGTGAAAGAGCATGTGGTTGATCGAGTTCAGAGGGAAAAGAAGGGTTGGGGCAAACCGGCGTTCGTCTCCCAGATGGACTTGCATCCTGGCCTTCCGGCAGCCAGCGGCTGGCAGCTGTGGGCGCGGCTGGCCTGGCCTGTTCACCCGGGGACTCCGCCCGCCGACAGCAGGCCGGGTGTGAGAAGGGAAGGCGAGGTCAGCACAGCTGCTGACAGGCTGGTCTCCCTTGACCAGACCTTGAGAATCGCAAACACTCGTTTTTGAACAAGCGTGTGGTGGAGGATTTGGGGTGTGTGAGTGTGAGTGAGTGAGTGGAGCAGACTTTCTTGGAAACTGGAGGAAGATGAGGCTGAAGGAGCTATTACTGACGGGCTGTGGTGGGTGAAACGCGGTGTGGCCACGGGCTGACCCCAGCCGTCACCCAGATTCTCTGGCTGGTGCCGGGGGCAGGGAGGGGTGTAGGGCCCTTGCTGGCCTCCCAGCGACTGACTGCTGGGGCAGAAAACAAGAGCATAACCAGGTGCTCTGAGGAGCAGAGAAAACTCAGCGGGGAGGCCTGGTTTCCTCCGCAGGCTGGCCTGGACCTCAGCACCAGCATGAGTGTGCCAGGGAGCATCTGAGCCCTGGGGACTTGGCGTGCTTCCCACCGGGCTGTCTTGCCGACTTCAGATGGGGAATCCTCAGAATTGAGCGGGCCGGAGATGTCCTTACCAAATTGGAAAGGAAGGTGAAACTGTTCCTTTCTTTAGCCAAAGAACCCTTCTCAAAGACACCTCCGAACACGGACAACATGACATTCCTCTTTCCTTTCTGGGCAATAATGACGCCGTCG